CATTGAAATACTAAAAAAAACTGCATATGTGCTAAATAATTAAAAAAAAAAAAAAAAAAAAGGAAAGCCCAGAGCAAGAAGAAAATTTGAAAGAGTTCACATTTTAACAATCCCCCAAAAGGATTTGTTAAGGTTTTTTAAGTTCTCGCTGAGCTCACCGTTTACAAGTCTGCTGCTGCACTGACTTCCGCCAGCTAAGCACCATTTTCTTCTCACCTACGTCATATACTATTCAACAGAAAATTACAAAAATTTAAAATCAGCATAACAGCATATGTTTAAAATTCCTGGTGTCGTGTTAAGCGTTGGCACACGTTTTCCTAATTTTTTCATTCGTCATTGGTTCATCATATCAACGTTCAGTGAGTAAGATGGCTTTTGTGAGTGCTTTTATTATTAACGTTTTGTGTGTTAATTTATTTATTTATTACATATCACGTTCTTCGCACTTACGTGATGTACATATCTGTAAAACCCCAAACACACAGTCTAACGCCCTGGAGATAAAAATATTTTACTCCGTAGTGTTGCCACTCCTCGCTTTAAAATCGTTGAGTTCGTTAACCAAAAATTCATTGAAGTTTTACAAAATATGAAATTCAAAATTTAATGGCTCTAGGTACCGTCGTTTTTTCACAGTGTGAGAAAAATACGTACATTAATGCAGATTCTTGTTTATTTAAAAATAATACAGGGCGATAACATTTAGTGGCAACAGTTTGATAAGTTATTCACCGTTTATAGTGAACGTGCAAAATCCCGTTTCGCGAGCAGTAGCCGATTCGGTCTGACGCCATTTTGGGTTAAAAACCACGCAGATCATAAATATCGACCTAGGTATAATATGAATGAATTTGTAGAATTCTTGTTTTCAGTGACAATTCCTAAAAATACAACATCGAAAGAATCAGTGGTAACCAAACAACCAATCGGTAATTTTGAGAATCTCAAAAAGGTCTCCATCGTCACGTATTAGTGTTACGCTTTTCTTCCAATACACAAAGTGTAATAAGATACGCCATTATCTTTAATTTTATTCTAGCCTGCGAAGAAACGAAAAACTACCACGATACGGTTATTTGCCTGCGGCAGGTGTGTGTTCTTCGGTGTTAAATTTCTCTGCTTACCTTTTCGTATCATTATTACATGCAAAGGAACCTAATCTAAATTTTTTCCATCTCAAAATTGAATTCCTGCTTTCCAGGAAATTTTAACCTCGTAATTCATTTGCTAATCTTGCCCTTGGTATAGATACAGAATCATTAATAAATTTTTGTCTTTTTTTAAAACCCAGAAGGACTATTAATTTCGTTTGGGCATTTTGCGTTGGTTCATTATAAATGTCGGGCCACTTTTCAAATTGTTGCCATCCAATATAGAGCTCTGTGTTATATTTAAAGAAAATAAATAATGAAGAATCTGCATAAATGTATGTATGTTTCTCGCATTGGGATAAAACGACGGTACCTACAGCCATCCAATTTTGAGTAACGTACGTCTAAACTCAAATGTGGGCATCTGGAAGCCCGAATTGGAATTTGAAATTTGTTTTATTGTCAATATCATATTTTGTAACACTTTAACAAATTTTTTGTTAACAAACGGAACGATTTCAAAGCGAGCAATGGCAACACTGTACGGAAAAGGAAAAAAAAAAAAACTTTTTTATCTCCAGTGCGCGAAACTTTGTATCGGAAATTGTAAAGATAGGCTCATTATAAAATTATTTTACGATACTGCTGTTGAATTGAATTTTACGGTTTAAGTGCATAAATATAAATAAAGGTAACACACAAAACGTTTAAAAAACGCCCCTTTGGAAGTATTTTAAAATCTGAAACCTTTCAGATTTCATTTTATTTAATTTTTATTTCAATAATCTTCCTTCGACTCTTTTGACATCTGCTATATGCTATATGTTATCGTGGTAGTTAATATCTGAAAATAAGCTTTGAACTAACATCCTTTTAGAAGCTGAAGCTAAATAAAAATTGTAATATTTACAACAGCAATTAAGCAAAGTGATCAGTCAATTCAGACTTTTAGTAAAGCAGAGTTTTCAGTTTCAGATTCCCAAAACTCTTTTCCCCCCCCTTCCTTGTAGATTAAATACATTTGCTAAGTATCAAACTATTAATATCACAATAAACTTTTTTTTAAATATTATTTTTAATCATATTACTGGCAAATCCACAAACACTGTTGACTGACTGACAGAAAATGTATAAAATTCGAAAATTTCTCAATAGCTTCGGACAGAAGTGGAGTGAAAAAGGATTTACTGCAGAGAACAACATCTAAAAAGGAAATGGTCAATGATTGATGAGGTATAATAATTAAAATTATTTAATTAAAGCAAAAGAAAGTTACCACTTCAGGGATTTGCGAGCTTCTGAATTTTAGACAAAAAAAAAAAAAAAAAGAGCATCCCTTCCCACTAGCTACGAAGCATTTATAAAAACAGTTTTCATTTTAGGCAGGTGCCAAACTTTTCCCCATTTTTGCTCCATATTGCGATATAACGAAAGGGAAAATAATAATAATTATCTTTGACACGTTATAAGATAACAGGAATTAAATTACCAATAAAGATACATTTTAAACATTGATTTATTACAGTGGTTTACAATTGGTCATATGTGACTGTTAATACCTAATTATTAACAGTTCGTTTACATGAGAATTTATAATATAAAATACATTATACCACTAATACAGAGGCTTTGCGCACATTTTTTAAACGATTTTGCTTTCTTGTAAAAGAAATTATTTTGCGTGGAATTTTTTTTTTTTTTTAAACTGCAACTATATTTTTAAAAGTATAAATTATCGTCTGCTACTTGAAAGTTTTGTTTTATTGCAAAATGCCGCTTTTAAAGAAGCAATGGGCGGAAGACTATGTTTGTGTTCTTTGCAATGAAAATTATTCGTGTCGAGTTATTCAAAAACGCCGTGAAAGTAATGGTTTTTCGATATATGAAGCTACGATAGGTAATGTTGTCAAGAACAAAGGAAAAAAAAATAACGTCAAAATCTAGCTTCAAGAGGAAAATTTGTTCTAAATGCGTATCCTAGGAAAAAAATAATGTTTCGAATGTTGCAAAAGTAAGATGTTTAATGTTAAAAGAAAATCCGTCTAGTGAAAGGACAAGTTCGAAATCGTTAAAATGATCCGTTTCAACTGTAAACAAAGTGATTAATGTTGACTAGAATCTTAAAATGAAAAAAAAAAAAAAAGGGTATCGTCTTTCTCCACAACATATAGCGAACGCGCCGCAGAATTCTTTATGAGAAACATTTATCCTCACAAAAAATGGAAAAATGTTGTCACAATAGTCGAATCTTTAAATGATTGCAATAAAAAGGGATCTATTTATTACTCGTATCATCAAAGAGGAGAGAAAAAAATCTTAAAACATGGTTTAAGGAATGTAAGCAAAAGTTTTTCAAGGGTATTTATGATTGCTCCTGGTTTTTTATACAACGGCAAATTAAAAATAAATCGAGAGGAAAAAAATGTTAAAATCAACTCCACATATCATCAAAAACATGTTTTATGCCTAGTTTTAAAATATGAAATAACTTTTTTTTTACACAGTGTGATCTGAAGGATTTCAGATTTTGAATTACGTCCAAAGGGGCGTTTTTTTAACGTTTTGTGTGTTACATTTATTTATTAAATATCATGTTCTTCGCACTTGAACCATAAAATTCAGTTCGATAGCAATGTCGCAAAATAATTTTAAAATGAGCTTTATCTTTAGAATTTCCGATACACAGTATCGCGAGCTGGAGGGATTTTTTTTTTTTTTTAAATGGCTCGCTTTGAAATCGTTGAGTTTGTTCATAAAAAATTCGTTAGTGTTACAAAATATGAAATCGATAATAAAACAAATTCAAAAATATATGCTGATATTCAAATGGAGGATTATGTTATTCAAAATTGGATGGCTCTAGGTACCGTTGTTTCATCACAATGCGAGAAACATACATACATTGATGAAGATTCTTCATTATTTAATTTCTTTAAACATAACACAGGGCGATAATATTTGGTGGCAATAGTTTGAAAAGTGAACCGACATTTATAGTGAACCAACGCAAAATGCCAAAATGAAATTAATAGTCTTTCTGGGCAAATTTCCCCTTTGGACTAAAAATGTGTGAACACCCTTCTTTATTTCTTGTGATCGTAAATATAGGCTAATTAATCTAGGCCTATTAAATGTATTTCTCGTATTTTTTGTAAACCTAGATTTACATTATTATTTATTACATTATATTGTATGAACCTAGATTTACATTATTTCATTAACTTACTTCACTTAGCTGATGCAAATGGTGTCAGGGTACAGGCCTTTAAATATATCTAATTATAATTATGTATTTTAATCATCCCTCGTTATAACAATCGCTTATAATGGTGATGATTACAACCACCGTACAAAAACTGTCCAACTCGATGGCAGTTATGTTTGTTACATTTATTTTGCTTAAGAGATCGCACATTTTTAAGCCCCTTTTAGGACGCGAGAGGTCGTTATAACGAGGTTGACCGTATAAGCAGCAAATTCGGAACATATGATACATAAATGTATGGTATGTCCCAAGTAACCAAAAATCATACTGTCTGAGTCAAGAGAAGTAACATAGTTCTTCAAACAGCTTACGTATAGGATCCCAATAATTTAAATAATATTTTTATATCGGTTTTAAGCATAAAACTATAGGAGATAATAACGATTTCACAACGTTTTAGCATCAGATTTATCCGTTATCGGCATGCTCCGTTTTATAACGCTGTCATAATTAGGATAACAGTGTCACTAACGTTGAGTCAAAATGATTGTGCAAACAGCTATTCGAAAACATTTCATCAATTTATGAGCCAGCTTTTTAAAAAAAAAGGAAGTTCAGAAAAAGAATTCTCTATTTAAGAACCTGGCTGCATTACGAATTATGCACTAAAAATCAATCAAAAAATAAAGTAAAATCTTTACCTTTCATAACATGCACACTGAAAACAGCGCATCGATGATTCACAGATGTATCCGCCAACGGTGTTTACGGGCACACGAAAATAATCCCAGAACGATCTTCGAAGCGAAGCGAGCGCGACAGTTTCCCAGCAGTACCTACTCCACCAACAGCGACGACTCGAAAGCCGGAAGGAACGAGTCAGACGCTCTTTCCTATACTCTCCCTCCTCACCCCCTACTCAACACCCTCTCTCCCCCACCACCACCACTGAGCCGGCTATCGGCACTTTTCGTGACACACCATGGGGAAACATCCTGTGCGCTTCACGCCCACCGTCCGTCCGTCTGTTCCTTTTTCTTTCTCTTATTTTTCATTGCTTTGTTTATTTATCGCCGTTCTTACCGCCGCTCCATCCTTCGCCCTTATCCTATCTGCAGCGAGGAGAGAGGAAGAGAAGAGGTGGGGGAAGAAAAAAAAAAAAAGAACACGTACACTTCGCTGCTTCATCGGCAGACGATTGCGGTGGTTCGACGTGCCTGCGGGTATCCGCGCGCCAGGCGTGACCGCAGCTTTCGAATTTCGTAAGAACAAACGCGAGAAGCTGTTCCAGCAATGGCAGTGGTTACCAAAAGCCAGAAATTTGAGTGATCCCGTTCTGTTTCACCATGTGCACCGAGTTACAGATTAGTTCTCTCGCTCTGAACATTTTCGCCATTTTCTTAAGTTCATTTCATAATGTTCATACAAATACTTGCACTTTGTAATGCAGCCCTGATGCTGAAGAAAGATGTGGTAAATTGCTAACATTCTTTTCCCTCTCCCGTTCTGAAGAGGGGAAAGGCATCGTGTTTTTTTGAAGGGGATAGGAGAAATGGGGGATGCTAAATTTGCGTTTGATCTTCGTTAAGAGCACACAAGGTTAGACTGACCTCCATGAAAATTAAGATTTTCTGCATCTGCAAATTTCATAATAAAAATAAGCCTCCAACATTTATGAAAATTACAGTTACTACTATCCCTATGCTGCGCTTCAAGAAATTATCATTGTCCACAATGGTAAATAATCATTTGAAAATTTAATTAGATCTTTGATGTCAAGAACTTCGAAGATGCCAAACATCTGACAACAGCCTGATTTCTTTTTCATCAACATTGTAGCAACAAAAAGGCCATAGCACCATCTCAGCTCACCCTAATATTTTAAAATGCGAAATCTCTCCATTAAGCTAAAAAAAAAAAAAAAAAAAAAAATTCGTAATTTCTTTTTAATTTATTAGTATTATCAATTTGAAACGGTATTTCCTTATCATCCACCTCTCGAGAGGACTTTCGGCTCGCCGCATATTTAGAGTCCCCCTGCCGCAAGGACGTTGTACATTTATAAACATCCACGCCTTTTCCGGGATTCGAAACCGGGCCCTTCGGCACGGCAGTCAGCGACGTTAACCACTATACCAGTTGAGAGGCACAATTTAGTTCCAGTAATAAGTACGACTCCAGTCCTAAATTCTTATCCACAACATATTGAACACGCCTTCCTAAGGCTCCAGCAATGCATCCAAGTTGAAAGAGAAATGTGTATGCAGTTATTTTATAAGTAATTTTCTGCTGCCTTATTGCAAGTTCTTGTGGTGTTATTGGAAACACGACCAGTTCGTGAAATCCGGAATCCGGCTCGTAAAATCCAGAGTTCAACTATAAAATTTTTCCTGTTTGCAGCAACGAAACGCCTGGTGTCGAATCCCGGAGAAGGTATGGATATTTGTAAAAAATAGTACCTGTGCGGGTGGCGTAATGGCAGACCGCACATTGAGTTGAACAGTGTTAAACGAATGTCGCATACTGCGCATGGCCAGAAAACAATTTGGCGTAATTACTATGTTGGCGCGATAAATACGGTATATGGTAGATGTATCGCCATCTAATTGTAAACAAATCTGGCGTTTTCTTCGTAGAGTATAATGTAAATTAATTACTGTGTTAAAATACTATTTTTTGCTCTACTGCTCAAACAACTAGAAAGCTGAAATTATTGCGAAGTAATGTGACGCAGTGTTTACATTCAAAATGTAAAATATAATACTTATGAAATTCTGCACATTCCCTTGGAACTGTACAAATTTTCGTTCAGAAAAAAGACTGAAATTTAGGATATATTAGTTGAAAATTTATTCATTATACTTTTAAGCAATAAAAACAATTCAGGATTTACCATACGTCTCATTCGTACATACATAAAGAAACACTGAGGAATATAACAAGTGCTTGCAAATAACTGAAGAAATTTTACAATTCCTTAATGCTAGTTATTAAATTCTTTGAAATGATAAAATAAAAGCGCGAATATACGCTAACAAACTAAGCGAGATACTCCAGTTTACAATTACTGAATTGTAACATGTAAACAAATTACATTTAAATAACGAATTATTACAAACATATGTTAACAAATATTAAATGCAATGTTATTGACAAATTACAATGAAATATATATTAGAAAAATAAGCAAGTGCAATCGCAATCCGTATAGGAAGTTAAAATAACTAATAAGCAAAGTTCCACAACATTACAGTTGTAAACATCATTCGAACACACTCGACAGCCTGGGTGATCACGAATAAGCTAGCGTAGGGTTGCTTAGTCGCCAATATTCCTCCCCGCGCCAAAGGTACACCATCAAGCATGCGCAGTAAGCGAAATTTGCTTAACACTGTTCAACTCAATGTGCGGTCTGCCATTACGCGTGCGGGTGACAGTATGCGGCGAGCCGAAAGTCCTCTCGAGAGATTGGGGGTAGTGAAAGAGGGATGGGACACACTCGGAGTTGTCTCGGGGTGCTATCTTTCAAAACTGGGTACGAAACTGAGCCAAAGTCTCACACACACAGACCTCAGTGTCTTCCTGTTGTTATTTAACTCTTTGAAATCCAGAGCTATATCCTAAGCTGATCCTCAAAATACCCGAACCGCCCGAAATACTTTTCCAGTTTCGCAGCAATTTCTTCCCCTCCCCGTCCATTAAAGCAGAAAATAGGTGTGATGATTTCCAGTGACATCCCTTTGTACTTTCTAACAAAGATTCCATTAGCCTTTGACCCCGTTCTTTATAAAACTGAATGTCAGAGCAACAAGCCTTTCCGGCTTTGTTATGATCACGACAGAGATTTCTTTATTTCCGTTATTTTTATAAGACGGAATAAATTGTTTAAAAATGCTAAATATAATCTTTAAATTTTTAAACTGCTCTTTTATTGCTGTTTAAAGCTTAGCACACTGTGCCACAAAAGAATCAACAACGAAATGTCACGATCATCCAAAAGATAAAAAAAAAAACCTCTTAGGACAAGCTGTCTGCAGGAAACTGATACAATGCATTTGGGGAAAGTGCACCTGCTATCGCATACTTTAGGGGGAGGGAAGAAAAGAAGATTACAATCTCGGGCGGTTCTGGTTGTTTCAATGTAGGGCCCTGTGGGGCGGATTGGATGTGAAGGAGTTAAAGTTGGTAAATGCAATAAAAGAATTCCATCTGTAATCATTTTCTCGAAAAAGACTGGAAATAGTGGGTACATTATTTGGGACATTATCTTGATACATTATCTGGAAATGAAAGAATATCATGTGGACTTTCTGGAACAGGAAACCACATCAAACAAAAGATGCTTACTGCAACAGGTGCAGGTAGAAGCTAAGCCAGCACCTCCCTAGTACCACAGGTAATTGAGGTATTGTTGAACCTAGCTAACTGTTAAACTTTCCACCCTAATTTTGAGGGAGAGCATCCCGGGGGGTGGTCCGAGGTTCTCCAGCCCCTCTTTTTTTTTACCATCAACCACTTGAAAGGACTTTCTGAGATAACTGAGTTCTGGTATTAATAGTGTACACAAATCATATTGAGAAAAGACTATCCTTGAAAAGTTCAACAACTGATGCTTCCAAAAGCATAAATGTAAGAATAAATGTCTTTTCTAAGGCGGAAGGTGTAAGAAGCAAGTCTTTGGAGCTCCCATCCGTCAGCATTGCGTAGATAAATGAAACTGTTGGAACATTAAAATGAAATAAAAAAAATCTGATGTGTACACCACATGACTTCCTTGTACGGAATATTAAATTATACGCATTTTTTTCTTGCATTTTATTTAAACTTATTAGATTGAATTAAACCTACTTCGCCGACAGCGCATAAAACACAATAGAATAAATGCATTCTTTAAAATTCACTTTGTTTACCATAGCGACACTCTGGCGCTAAAACAGTATTATATTTCATTCATATTATAACTCAGAATGCACAAAATGTATATCATTTGAATATTTATCTAATCGTTGCCACATGTTCTATTCAAATACTATAATAAAGCTAGAACTATGTATAAAAGAAATTAAGCAAATAAAACAAAAAAGAAACAGTTTTCACAGACGATTGAGTATTTCTCATTTAATTAATTCAGTTCTCACTTCGCGAGAAGGCAAGAATACATAAAAACTCAAAATATCTATATTAAAAATTACGAAGTAAATCTCAAACGCTTATTTCCTCGAAAAAATTCCAGAAAGAATTAAGCACGATTTAATTATGGCAATAATAAATGAATGCGTTCTTTGTTGTTGCGAAGCTAAGTTTCTCTAGATTGGCAAACAAATCCACTAGTCTCCTGTTTCAAATGTAATATCAATGGCCGCCATTAAAAACAGGCTTAGCGGCAATTAAACAACTTTAAAATTGCTGATAATTCTAAAAATATTGCACACAGATTTACTAAAGGCATAAAATCCTTAACCGGAAGATAAAAACAATATAATTCAACCATTTTTAAAGAAAAAAATGTACAATTTACAAACATATAAGAGTCAAGAAACTGAGATCACTGAGCCGGGTAATAGAGTATTATTTATATACGTTTGGTGCGGCCGATTGCAACCAAAATACGAGGTGCACATCTACATGTTATAGATGTCCTATATACAAAATTTCAACGTTCTGAGGCTACTCGTTTTTGAGTTATGCGAGATACAAAAAATTCTCTTCAGAATTCATTTTAAAGCAGTTTTATAATTTTTTTGAAAGAAAAGAGTGTTTTATTCTGTCCTTACGTACAGATATCAGGCAAAAACATCGTTAAATTGCATTCGATAGGGTCAAAATGGATATTTTCGTTGAAATATGC